ACAGTATATGGCTGGAAACATAAATAAGTAGACAAATAATTTTAAAAAAATGCAAATTGTGATAAGTGCTATGATGAGAATGACTTGGATACAAACATAGAGAATAATGGAGGGATTGCTTAGAATTTGTCAAAGAGACCTTGCTGAAGAGTCAGCATTTAATCTGAATTTTGGAGAATAATACATGTAAGGAGAAGAATGTTCTAGGTAGGAGAATTTGCATGTGCAAAGGCCCTGAGGGACAGGGCTTAGAGAGCACTCCACAAAAACCTCAGCCTAGCAATGTGAATGTCATGTAAAATTCCATTGTTCTAAGTAAACTGAGCTGTTTTCTGATCAAGGGCTGGGACCACTTGAATAATGGGGTGTTTTCCTTTGCACACAGATGTAGCTACCTGAAAATCAAGCTCTAGGTAACTTAAAAAAAAAAAAAAAAAAAAACCTTCACTGCCATTGAGTAGAATCTGACTCATAGTGAGCCCATGGGGTTTCTGAGGCTGTAAATCTTTACAGAAGTAGATTGCTCCATCTTCCTTCTGTAGAGAAGCTACTGGGTTTGAACTGCTGACTTTCCAGTTAGCAGTCAAGTGCCTTATCCCACTATGTCACTGTTAGGCCGGAGTAAACTCAAGCCACCAACATTTCAGTTGGTAGCTTCCTCTAGGTGTCAGGCCCTGATGAGACAGCCTGATAAGACAACCAAGGTGGCAGAACCCACCCAGGCTGGAAGGTCCAATGTGATGATACACTTCCTCCTGTGAAGCCCCATGCTTGAACAATTTCTCTTAGAAAGATCAGCACGAGGCCGGTCCCCATGAGGCGGAGGTTAAAGATGTCCCAAATGTCCAAACAACCATGCCACTCCATCATTTCAGACATTAACTCCTCCTCCTCCTCCCTGTAATTTCCCCAGTCTTAGGGTTCTGTATTTCTCTGTAATGCCTCACAGAACTCAAAGACACCCAAGGGTTTGTCTCACGTAGTAGTGGTGGAAGCTGGCAGCCTGGCGAGTCCCGGGTCTGTGAGTAGGTCTGGCAGATCCTCCAACTCTCGAGGTTTGATGAATCTCGATCAGCAGATCAGATGATGGCTGCTGTCCCAAATCCAGGGGTGAGGTGAGAATGATCCAAGACACAAAGCTGGAGCAAGAGGAGAGTGAATCTTCCCAGGAGATGCATAGGTATGCCCTCAGTGAAGCTAAGGGTTGTGACTCGAATTATACCCTCCAGCAAGGCAGGACTCAAGATACATTCCACCTGTGTTGCCCCAACAGCAATAACCTAAATCCCATCACAGAGTCCATTGCCAGTCATTATAGGGAACAATTACTACCAGCTACCCAGCCAAGCTGATACCTGACCTTAACTACCACATCACCCCAAATAGGCATGGATAATGGGATTTACAAAACATCACAGAATGGAGGACAATGGCTAGAAAGACCACATAAAGCAATTCACTGCACCCCCTCATGCTAATTAGGTGCAGACCCGTGCCAACAGCTAATTGGACCCTGCCATTTCCTTAGTGTCCCCACTTAGGTCCTCTACAAGACTTTAAACCCTCCCCTCCCCAGCCAGGCAGGGCAACTTCTCGGGCCCCTCTCAGGGACCCATAAACCTCGCCCAGAAGCGCAGAATAAAAACTTCTCTTTAACCTCACTTTTGTACGTCCTCTTCTCCTTACCATGACCTTATAGCCACCAGATGTTATCGTTGTTCTGTGCCCTCGAGTCGGCCCCAACTCATAGCAACCCCTCCTTGGGTTTCCGAGGCAGTATCACTACGGAAGTAGGATTGCCCAACCTTCCTCCCGAGGAGTGGCTGGTGGGTTTGAACCGCCAGCCTTCTGGTTAGCAGTCAAGTGCTTTAGCCACTATGCTACCAGAGCTCCTGATAGCTCCTCACTATTTAACTGTCCTGCACTGACACTTACATTCACGATATTTTTCTGGTGGTCTTTGCTAGTTTGGCTGAAGCTATGTGTTTTCTAACAGTGCTTCTCTCGTGTCTTCATTATAGCAGCTATCAAGAAGACAGATTCTTCTGAGAGAAGAAAATGTTCTCCACTTTGCTTCCCACCTGATCACAGTCACCGTGGTACCTTCATTTATGTGCCCCCAGCACAGATCATTCTCTGGATATCGACAAATCAACTCTGTGTTCTATGCATTGATTTTATCTATGTTTTATCTACTGTATGATTTATAGTCTAAGGAACAAAAATGGAAGAAATGTCTTCAGAAAGATCTTTTTTTTTTTTTTTTTTTCCAGGAAAGGATGAAATGAGACTTAAAAACCTCTCAACAACAACTGTTTCTTAGCCTAAGGTTAGAATGTTGGAGATGTAAGTTTAATATGAATGATCTCCAAATTTGGAGGCAGTGAGGCCTGGGCCACTGAATGGGGCCAGGACCCACATCAGAAGTCGCTCTCTTATATCACTTATGTCTATCTCCACCATTTTAAAGTTGGTTGTAATATTTATTTCCGGAGCAGATGGACCTACATTTTTTCCCATATATTTCATATCCTTATTCTTTTTCTTTTCCCATCCTAACCTACACCATGATTACTTTCAATATTGGATAAACCATTGACAGTCCACAATTTCCTTTTTGTGAACATAAATAAATACAATTAATTGACATTCTTTTTGAATTGATTTTCATACCCATATAAATACATGTACTTTATAGCTTAGCTGTTCAAATTTGCACAAGTCATGTGCAAATTTAACCTTATATGCTTTTTTTCTCTGAATCTGAGTTTAATTATAGATGGTAATTCACTTCTGAATGCCACTTGAATTTAGATGCGCTTCTGTTAAGACTCTGAACAATTTCTATTTTACCTTGAATGCATATGTGACTCTGTTCTATCCCTTTATTAGAAATAATTATTAATTCCTTACTCATTGTTTGATCCTTTGAATCTACTATAGAGTCTTCTTCAGTGTAATTATGAAATTATATTTTTTATGAAATAAAACAAACTAATTTTACTGTTGGTTGTTTTTAATATTTAATATATGCCTCTAATGACAAAAACTATTTTTTTTCCCAGTTTTTTGGGTTCATTCTCTAGAACGGCACTGTATATACCAATAAATATAAAAATACATTGTCATATATTATGGTTTAAAAAATCAATTTGCAAATATTGACTACATTAAAATCCAATTAACAGAGTGTTTCATCAAGAACATATAAGGTCTGGAATCTATGTTGGTAAGCAACAAGATGAAAGCTCTGAGGGAGGTTGGGCTCTGGGAGTCAGGGATAAAATCTGGAGCTCACTAATGATAAGATGATAGCCTGTTCTGCAGATTTGGAATGTCCATGCAAAAAGTTGAAAGTGCAACACCAGAGAGTGAGAGTGAGGCATAAGACAAAGGATAATCAAGAGCGCAAAGGCTTCTGATAGCGAAAATGTATGCTGGGTTCTAAACCACAGTTCAGTTAACTGAGCTGAAATCAATTTTCACAAAAGGAGTCTGTCCGTGTAGATGAGATGTAGGGCAGGAGTCTGGCATACTTTCAAGATTCTTGTGTACTGCAGTTTAAGGTTGAGGAGAACCAAGTGTTTCCTCTCTGTATATTGAGTAGAGAATGCTCTCTGAAGGGAATGGATCAATTGCAATGGTTAGGTACTGATGCGGTTGCAGTTAAGTGTGCCCATTTGACCATGGACCTTCAGATAGTGTTATACAGGATAAGGGAAAATCAAGTACTCTTGGATTAATTATCCAAATTCACTTATTGGGAATATAGGTTGTGAGACTTACCAGGAACATGGATCTAGGTAGTTGGCCTCTGCTTTATTTTCCATGAATTCTTTCTCCAGAAAGTGGTCCCTTCTGATAATGTATGAGAGATGAAGTCTAGTGACTCACACTTCTAAGGAGCATTCTGGCTATACTTAAGACAGATTTGTTAGTTTTTCTTGCCGTCTGTGGTATATTCAATATTCTTCACCAGGACTACAATTCAAATGAATCCTTTCTCCTTTGCCCTTTAATATCTGATAATTTTGGGTTTCATTTCCTATAAAAAGGCATAGGCATATCTACCTCAAAATCAGAATAGCCAGTCCCTCTGCCTAGAATACTTTCTTCTCCCTCAATTGGGATCACCATTCATCATTTATCTCAGAAATCACATGTCCCCATTTCAAAGATATTCTGTTTTGCACAATAGACTTAGACATTTTACTTTGGATTAAGAGCACCTAGATTTTTTACTTCATGACGTTTTTATAGTTTTTAATGGATTATTTTAATAATTAGGTAATAAAAGCTTGCCATTCATATGATATTATAGAATTGAATATAAAATATGAGGCACCGAGAAGTACAATAAAAACTCCAAACCAAACTCACTGCCATCAAATCAATTCCGACTCATAATAACCCTCATTAGATTTCCAAGGTGGTAAATATTTAAGAAGTAAGTTCCATCACCTTCCTTCTGCGGAGCAGCCAGTGGGTTTGAACTGCCAACCTTCTGGTTAACAGTCTAATGCCTTAGGCACTAAACCAGCAGAGCTCAATTACAATAGACACTACATAAGTACTACAATAGACACTAAATAAGCACCCAATACTTCCCAGAATAATTCAGTTAGTGTATGAAAGTAAACAAGTAAAATTTTGAACAAGTAAAATTTTGTCACACTAGAAGGAGACTGGAACATTTCCCAAATTTATATTGTGTTTAAATTGAAGACACATAGGAAAGCATAACATATTTAGGAAGCTACCAAGTAATTGATATAGTTGAAAATTTGTATAAATATTCATTGTATTAAATTATTTGAGACCATATTGTTTGGTAATATACGAATTGAAGAAAGGTAGAACTATATACTCTAAACTCACTGCCGCAGAGTGAGATACGACTCATAGCGACTACTCCTTGGGTTTCCCAGGTGGTATCACTATGGAAGTAGATTGCCCAACCTTCCTTCAGAGGAGTGGCTGGTAGGTGTATGTATAACTATTTAAAGCAGTATTTTATTCTTCAGTTTTTGCAGGGCTTCTTTCACATCCTTATTTCGTAGACTATAAATCAGAGGGTTTAACATGGGAATGAGAAAGATATAAAACAATGAAGTCATTTTGTCTTGATCTAGAGAGTAGGAAGAAGTTGGCCGGAAATACATAAAGAGCACAATTCCCTGGAAAATTGCAACAGCAGTTAAGTGAGAGGTGCAGGTGGAGAAAGCTTTGAACTTTCCTTCGGCAGAGTCAATCTTTAAGACCGAGAGGATGATATAACAATAAGACACTAGAACTCCTGAAATGGTACTCAGTTCAATGAAGCCAAACACAGTGAATAGTACCAGCTCATTGAGCTGAATATCAGAACAGGAAAGGAGGAAGAGTGGAGGTAAATCACAGAAGAAATGATTCACTTCATTTGACCCACAGAAACACAAACGGAAAGTTAATGTAGTATGGATCAAAGCATCCACCATGCCAACTAGGTAAACCCCTGCCATGAGTGCATAGCACATTCTGCCTGACATGTCGACTGTATAGAGCAAGGGGTTGCTAATAGTCTTGTACCGATCAAAGGCCATGACTGCCAGCAGGAGACACTCAGAATCTTCAAAGATGCAGAAGGTGAAGAATTGCAGAGCACAGCCAAGGAAGGGAATTGATTTGCTGTTGGCAAAGAGGTCCACCAGCATCTTGGGCCCAATTGCTGTGGAGTAACCGAGGTCACAGAAAGAGAGGTGGCTAAGGAAAAAGTACATCGGTGTTTGAAGCTGGGGATCCAGTCTAATTAAAATGATCATTCCAAGATTTGCCACAAGAATAATGAGATATACAACCAGGACAATGGTGAACATAGTTGCTTTGATCTCAGGGTTATTAGTAATTCCCAAGAGGTGGAATTCCATTAAGGAGGAAAAATTTTCTCCATCCATTCTTCTTTTTTCTTCTAAACTGCTACAAAAATGATCAAGAAAATTATAGATCAGGGATTAACTCCAATGGACATCCACAAAATATTATTGTAACACTTTCTTTCTATAAATTCTTTATGCTCACAAACTAACCCAGAAAAATGTCACTGTGAAAGTGACTTTATTATATTATTGGGGAAAAATAATTATAATGTTTGGAGCAGAAAACTCAGAAGTTTGGCTCTCAATCTTTCTGTCATTTTTGATATGTGAGATTTGTATTGCCCTCTACTGCCATATCTCAGCAGATTTGAATAAACCCAAAGTTTATTCCTGATTCAAAATAATGTTTAAAATATTGAAAAAAAAAATTAAAGACACAAAGCCAGAAGATACAGGCGTAAACATCTGATATGTGTAAAGATAAAAACCTATTGGACCAAAAAAGTAATCACATTTACTTTATTCATCTCGAAGCATAATTGATTTTGAAGATTCAGCAAAAATGAATGCTATTTCCCATAAATTGATAAATGAAATTTTTATGTTACTGTTTTGGTGTATAACATATCTATGGTTTGAACTGGATAATTTAACATCAATGAAACATGTTTTATTCAGCTTTCGTACCACACCTCATCTCTTCTCTGCTATTAATGACCAACTTATGTGACTGACCTGGTCCCAAGGGATAATTTATCATCTCTTTGGATTTTTAATTTAAATTTTCCACAAAAATAAAAAAGAAAGAGAAAGAGAAGAGGAATAATAAATGTTTCAGAATTATAAAGGTTCCTTTCATGTGCGTGTGTGTGTTTGTGTGAATTTTCTCCTGGTAAATAAAAATTGACATTGGAAAGGTAGTCTGATCTTTATTTTTGTCTGTACTTAA